TATACATGTATAAAATACATACTATACATACTATATATACTATATACGTATGTATATATATATATACATCCATACCTACATACATACATACACATATATATAATTTTATATATATATACATACATACATACATACATACATATATATATATATATATATATATATATTGAAGGTAAACGTGGGTGCCGTGGTTCGCTGCAGCAGATTGACGCGCGTGCAGATATAGACGTGTGGAACTCGAGAAATCCATTTTGACAGAAACTACCACCAAGTGTTGCAGATCTGCGTGCACTACTACAACAATCCGTTCAGTGCTCTAAATCACCCAACATCGCTCGACCATGATATCCCAACATGCCCAAAGGGGTCTGTGTGCCTATGGAGTCTGATAGGTCACCCCACGCAATGAAGTCAGTGTGCGTACGCGACGATAAGGCTATCGCGCTGTATGACGTGCTCCCACTACACACACAGACAGCGCCCACTGTGCACATCCAAACACATGCAGCCACATTGGCACACAGATATATCGTCCGCTACCACACGCACGCAGAGTGGGCCGTATGTACCTAATCTAGCGTGCATATCCCTGAGCATGGTATGTGCCTGCTGGCCACACACGTGTGATCCGTCGGGCACCTCGAAGTCGATATCAGACCATTTGTACGCCACTGCGTCAAACTCTGGATTCTGTGGAGGACAATCATCGCAGAGAATAGTTTAACATTCGACATGGGCAAACATAGTCTACGGTTTAAACAAAAGTATACGCTTGGGTAACCTAATAAGGGCGAGTAATCGAAGATAACAAATTAAAATAGGCATATGAAATAGGGCGCAAGTACACCAGGGTAGTCCAATAAGGATGAGTAGTGTGAGGGAGCCACTTGCATGGGTTGTATATTGAGGTGTACGTGGGCGGTTGCAGGTCTGGTCTATCCGTTCGGTATTCCTCCGCATATAGACTTGCGAAAAACCAGAAGCCCAAAACTACTGCGCCTTATGTGTGATAGTATCATATGTCTCACATAATAAGAATATACGATGCGACCAGGTGCACCAGGATGCGCAATATGTACCAAAGACATGTGACTATGTACGATACCAACACAGAAGCCTGGCTCAATACACTAAGCCTGTATACATCAGAGTGTCGACAGTACCAACAGCCTTTATAAATAGTCTCATGGTTTCGTAAGTTTTGAATACACGCCCAAAATTGTATCGGATGCAATCCTAATAATGCACTATATGCAAGGTCATCATCAGCAGAGCTCATACCTTTAATACAGCCAACAATTGGATAGTTACTACAGATACTAAGTGGCAATAACAAATCTAGAGCCTTATGATCGTGATACGCCCGGGAAACATCTCGGAGAACGTTACTGATATGCACTATATGGCAAAAAGTACGTAGACACACTAGTATTGGCGGACGCACCATACTTATAAATCCACATAGTATATAATAGGGCGTAATGTAACAATTCGTGTTCGTATATATGTAAATACCGTATCGTGATCATGTGTAAAAGCTGCACATACGGATATTGTAAAAACATCAGAGATTGAGATATAGAAAAACGAGAACTATGTGTTAGAAAGTAGGAAAAAAACTGGGTGCCAGCTATGAAGAAATGCAAGCTGATATAAGCATATGTTGCGACTCAAAATACGTTTGTGAGCAATTCAGTGGGACTGATGTGGTAAATTTTGGAAACAGCTGCCTCCTGCAATCTCCCCTCAAAGATATTGAGAATATATATATATATATATATATATATATATATATATATATATATATATATATATNTGTGTGTGTGTGTGTGTGTGTGTGTGTGTGTGTGTGTGTGTGTGTGTGT